AGTAAAGCAAAGAGTTTAATCGAAGAGGTTTTTGCCACTCCCAAAGCATCCACCCCTCTATGGAGAGTTAATCGACCCCTTGCACCCTGCAGAAAGCTAAGATGAACACCACTCCCAGAAAAAGGTTCTCGCTTGCTGTTTACTGTCTACCATTCATGTCGTTACCAAAAAAGGAAATTTTTTACGAATTGGAGAGTTGTGAGAAAGAGTTTTTTTTTTTACTTACTTTTATTTGGTCATTAATTTTTAAAAATTTTTATGTTATTATATTTATTTATTATAAAAATAAATTAAATTTTAGATAAAAACATTAAAAAAAAAAAACAATGTTTAATGAAATTACTTTATTTTCATATAATACTTTTCCTATTTCTCAAACTTGATTTATACTAATGTATAACAAAATATTGCTGATCCTCATCAGCCTATATATGCTTATAATAATAATAAAGTGATTGCTCAGATTTAACAAAAAGCATTACAAGCATACAAAATACTTTTTCAGTAATAAGTAGTAAAAATAAATATTTCTTTAGAAGTCATTAACAATTCTTAAGACTTCAATTCACTTCCTATTAATACTTAAGAAAATAATTACAATTTCAACATTACTTAGAAAAACAGTTATAGCATGAACCTGATAAATATTGGCCTCAATTAAGACAATAGTTAAGAGATTGGCAAGAATTAAGATATTCTTCAAAGGAACAGTCTCAATTAAGACAATCTTCTAGAGAATGAAATTAATCAAGGCAGCCTTCAAGAGAACAATCTGAATTTCAATAGCTTAGACATTTTTTAAGATAATAAACTCTAATCCTCTTACTCTTAAGGTAACAAACTTCAACTTATTAATTTTCAAGATAACAAATTATATATTAAACAGCTTGAATTACATTTCATCAATACAATAGAAATTATGAGACTTTGTCTATATTTGAAAATCATAGAAAATTATGAAAAAAAGAATTGACAAATAGTATAATAAATTTATAATTTTTTTTTAATTATACTTTAATATATAAATCTTTAAAAAAATAGTAACATTATAGGTAGCAAATTAATAAATGACTTTTTCTGCAATAACAGTAACTTTATTTTTTGATAAAAAGACTCGGTGACAATATTTGATAGATCAAAGTTGAAATAAAAAAAAGAGATTAATAGAATAAACTGAATTTTCAGGTTATGGATATAAGTATTTTAATTAATAAAATTTAAAGCAAAATCTATCTAATTTTATATTTTTAAATAATTTAAGGAATATGTTTAAATATTATAAAACAATTATTACCAAGATATATTTATTTAAATCAAATTACTTTGAAGAATGTCCTATATAAATATCTTGAGATGAACTTTTTCAAATATACAGTATATCTAATTTGAGTTTTAATTGATTTACAAATTTATTTCATAGTAAATGGTATAGTATAGTAAGTGAAATAAAATTATTTAAGTGTTTTTAATTATTTTTAAATTAATTCAAATTTAATTAAAACAAAACTTCTGGCAAAAATGAAAAATTACTGAGACACAATGTTATAAAGTATTTGAACAGTAATGTAGTAAGTCTTTGGTTTAGAACAATTATTATTTTTAAAAAGCAATGCTTCATCAACTACTATTATAACATGAAAAAAGTTTATAGAAATATTTGAATGTTATCATTTACTTTTTCAATTAAATAATAAAGGTATTTATTAGGTAACTTTGATCACAAGAGTAACATTTTCTGAAATATTTGTTTCTATTTTAAACAATTAACATTATGTATTTACTCTTGCTATATGTGATGTTTTTTTGAATTCTCAATTTAAGAGTATTATATGTTATCAAAAATGGATGAAGCATCGTATTAAGCATTTTCTCATAAGTAATTAATTATAATATAATAATTTTTTTAATATAATCCTTAATGTATTTATTAAATAGAGATATTTTAATAATAGTAGTTTCTTTTTAAATTCTGTTAAAGAAATTTTAAATAATGAACAAGAAAGTGTATTAAATAAAAGCAATTGCAAAAAATATTAGAACAAAAACAAGAAAAAACAGAATCAAATAGAATGTGATAAGACAATTTAATAATACTTTTATAAGAACAAAATGCATTATTTGATATTGGTAAAGATAATAGAAATTAAATTAAAAATAAAATATAAAAATTTCTAATCATGTAAAAACAAATTAATTTGTTTTTAATAAAAATAAATCTATTTCTTTTAATTATTACACTTAATATAAAAATTATAATTTATATTATAAAAAAAATAATTATATTGTTATAAATCAATATTTTTAAAATTTAAATCAAAATAAATAAATCCTAATACATATTGATTTTATCTAAATTAATAATAATCATCAGGAGGGATTATAATCAATATGTATTCAGAGTGTTATTAATTGATACATATTATCCTATTTATTTTTTTAATGTTAGTAAGTTACTATATATAAGAAATATTATTGCTTTCTCTACGTATAAATTTTAAACAATTATATGATTAATAAAATTATAATGTTTACTTACTTTTTTTAAAAAAAAGTTTAAGATAGTTAATACTATATAATAAAAGATTAATGAATTTATTTTTTTGTAGTGAGATAGTTAGTAAATAGTTAAATTATATGAACAACACAATGGTCTTAGTATTAAGAATTCAAAAATTATGTACAAATCTAAAGTAACTTGTTAACAGATGTTTTGCAAAATAGAACTAGTTTTGCATTAATATAATATTATACTGCATATTGTATTATTGTTGTTTAAAAATTATATTGATAAGTGCTAAAACTTGCAATCTGATTAGAGGCAAAAAAAAATCAATTAAATATTAAACTTTAATTGATCTTATTATATAATATTTAATCCAGGAAAAATTTTTACAATAATATTATAACAATAACGAAATTTTATAAAAAAGTTGTCATTTTTTGTTTAAGAAACTTCTATGATAACAAATATATATAATATAAAATTTTTGAGAAAGTAAAACATTTTTAAATTAAATTAATGATTCACAGTTGAGGGATTTAATATTAAATTTAAAAATATTTAAATCAGATATTGGAACATACATGTATTTTATATAAATAAATTTTATAGAACAAATTTTAAAATAGTTACTTTATGCAATTATAGAATGTAATGGTATTATTTAAATAAACTAATTATGAAATTTATAAAACTATTGCATCATTTTCAGTACTTTAGCCATTTTCATAAAAAGATACTGATTGCATACCTGTGTATCTATCTATTCATGTATATAAACTAAAACACTGCAGTAGTGATATACGAATTTATTCGTTCAATCATCGATCAATCATTTATTTTCGCATTAAAATTGCTGTATGTATCATTTAGCGTAATTACAGTATATAATGATGTGTTAACGAATAAAGTAACGAAAAGCATACAGTATTTAACAAAATTTACAAATTCCTCGTCCAACCGGATTACAGATTAAATTTCATTTGAAGAAAATAAGCTATCGGCGTCATTTCAATCTGCTATAACATTTTGGTATACATCAAATACTCATATCAATTGGTTAAGTGAAATAACCTTTCGGAGAATTAAATTTTTTTCATCAATTTATCTATTTTTGACGCCATACATCATTTCTGATACTGTAATTCCAAAATTAATAGTGCAAATTAGATATAAATTCTCGTACTGGAGTAACATCTTCTCCTTTCCAAATTCATCATTTCTAAATATGAAAGTCCCACCCACACCGCCTTATACAGCACTCACGATTAATTATCCAGCCATTCTTGTAATAGGAAGATGTGGTAGGTTAAATTGAACTTTGAAATATATTTGTAGTTAACGACAGGTCAATTTACTTTATGGTTTTCAGGTGTAGGAAAAAGCACGCTGTGTAATTGGTTATCAGGTTACGAAGGAAATGACGGTATTTTCGAAATCAATAGTAATCAGGTAAGCATTGAGGATCATTCATTAAATTTGTTTATTAAAATATTTTATTGATGTAAAAATATATTGTTTAATTAGATAAAAAAAAATGACGAATGTGTCCCTCATATTCTAAAAATAGAGAAGAGATGGTTAAATCTCATCGATGCTCCTGGGTTTTTCAATCCCAACGAAAATTTCAGAAATGAAAGTTCCATTAAAAAAGTTTCTAGCATCATTAGAGAATGTTCATACGGAGTCCAGGCTATTATTTTAGTCATTGGTAAGACAAGAAATTTACTATTCAAATTAACCGTTACAGTATTAAATTTCTAAAACTTGTGAAATCTTCGTACAAAAGACAGACATGATCTTTATTCTTTTAACAACACTCTCAGGGTGGTCAAATCTTTTTTGGGGGAAGAGGGTCTTAAAAATATGATCGTAGCATTTACGTATTGTACAAAGGGACAAACAGAAAACGAGGGAACCTTAATTCTTCGCGAAAATATGAAAGATCTTTTGACCACAGTTGAGAATCGCAAATTTATTTCACCTAACCCCGACATATTTACGTTAAATGATGATGCGGTAGTAAAAAATATGAATATAGCTCGAATGCTAATTAATGAAATTCCATCCGCATACATAACCGAAATGTTCAATCGAAATAATGAATGCTGCATTAACTAATTTTCCCCAGGTTTTCAATTTTCTAAAGTTTCTTTACTACAGTACAATAAACCAATTTCAGTGTTTAAACTAGGTTGGCGAAAATAGAGAAAACAATAAAAAAACAAAATCACAAAAATGTATTCCTGCAAATAAGAGCAAATAATAACAAATTATAGTTATTAAAGAATATATGTATTTATACTTAACAAAATTGAAGTAACAATTCCAAAAGATGTAAAAAACTTTTGCTATTACTAAGTATAAAAGTTTAAACGTATTGTAATAATTTAAACAATAGGTTATATTTAATCAAGAAAAAAAATCATAAAAAGATATAAGTTTAGAAGAGATAATTAATTTATGAACTCAAAAATAAAAATACAATTTGAGTAGTTACAAAAATAAAAATTTTCTTTTACATAGTTATTTTTTGTTACATAAATAATCTATAGATATATAAATATATATTGTGTATATATTATTAATAAATAAGTTATTATTGATTCTTTTAAAAGGTCTTGTATACTATAAATGTAAAAGAAAAGAAAAGAAAAACAATAATATAATAAATATAACATATGCTTAATAACAATATTCTGTTTTTCAAATAAGTATAAATATAATAAATATAATAATTAATAATAAAGAATAAATAAAGCATTAATAATATTACAAAAGGTTTCATAATATTCTGAAAGATTTCAAGAAATTCTAAAATGTTCTATAGTATTCTAAAGTATTTTGAAGTTTCCTGGAATCTTGTATTATATAATATATGACACAAAAGAAAAAAATTGCTATAAGTTCATTAATTATAGTATAAGGCTTTGAACAGAAAAGATATTAAAAAATAGATTAATATTCTTTAACTAATTAAGATTATAAAATAGCAATATAGAAAATTTCGAATAATATATTAAAATTTTGGAATAAACAATTTTATTAATAAATATAAAATCCAACATATAAAGAAATTATAAATGCAAAAATCATATAACAAAAAAAATATTTTTTAAAAAATAAAAAATTTAAATCAGAAAAAAAAATCAAATCAAGTTTTAAGAAATACTGGTACAGTTAAGAAAAAAATAAAAATAATTAACATTAATAATATACAAAATAAAAGAAACAGAAAAGATATTGTCAATATAATTAAGTCCTATAATCAATAATAATAATTTTGCAAATATCTTTATAAAGACTTTCTAAAACAAAATCAAAAATTATTAAATAGTCAAAAATAAGTAATTAGGATTTTGATAAAGTAAATATAATAATAAATTGTAGGTAATTAATTTAAAAAACAAAAAAATAAGAAAGTAACTTTATTTATTTCTAAGATTATATTTAATGATTGAAAAATTATCAATAGATATTCAAATATTAGCTAAAAACTCTTTTCTACTTCTTTTTCTATGCTTGAATTTTTTTTTTTTTAGAAAATTTTTAAGTTGTTTTCTTTTTCTTCACTTTTTTCCTTTTCCTAATACTATTCTTTTTTTATTATTCTTTTTTTTTTTTCTTTATTTTTTTATTTATTTATTTTTTTTTTAAAGTGAAACATGCACACGGCATGTGATCTTTATTGATACATTTAATATCCAGATAGATACCAAGTGTCTCTACAAATTAATCAGAAGTCGATTGGTATATGAATATCCATTTTGTCTCTACAGTTAATCTGCAAATTAACACTGCATTAGTACCTATATTACTATAAGACTAGCTATGTTAACCACTTATAAACCAACTATGTGTTCATTTAAACATTTGAAGATATGTTCACATGTCAGGTAAGACTTTTTGCAGGGAGGGAATCCTACCACTAGTTTAAAATCCATCTAACCTGTTAAGTTCATATTGCAGAGAGCAGTATAATATGGAATGTTTATAGAGATTAACACCAGTTATTCCAGTCATCTGTTATTGCTGATCCTCAGGATGTACCACTAGCATAGCACAGCATTACTGTTTTCACCACTTGTGAAACTGGCATCCTTGCTTGGATTCTGATTTAATCTTGTAGATCCTCACTAGACTCACTTGGCTTAACGATTTTTGTCTAGTCTTCTCACCATCTGTGGCTTATACCTTGTCCATCGGCCATATGATTAAGTTCTGTGGAACATCACTATTGGAATAGATTAGCTTAGAATTAATCTCTTTATATTGTGTGATGGAGTCCGCCTTCGTCAGTTTGGGTTAGAGTTTGTGGGCTTATTATTGAAGTTAGACCAGAAACCTTTTCTTATGCAATCTTTCTTGCTTCAACCTGTTTTTCAGCTCATGATCATTAGAAAGACCAGAGTCCCATCTTTATGCAGCCTAACTAATTTTGGAAATAGATTTTGTCAGCTAATTGGATATAACATGAATTGAAAGCCAGTCAATCAACTATGAAGGTGATAAATTTTTGTAACCAGGTGGGATTAAACCCTAGATCTTCTCCTGATGACCTATGGAGCATTACTACTGTACTATAGATCCATAGGTCTCTTTCTTTATTTTTTTTTCTTTTTTGCAAATTATTATTATTATTATATTTCTCTCTTCTTTTTTTTTTCCTCTTAGTTACCAAAGTTAGGTTTTTTCTTCTTTTTGAAGTTTTTTCTCTTTAGTTCTTTCTCCTTCTTAAATTTACTACATTCTATCTCATAACTCTATTTATTAGACTATATATATGGCATAAATTATTTACTATTGATTCAATTCCCAAAACTCTCAAAAATAATTATATCATGACTTAATTATTTATATGTTTTAATAGTAACTCAATTAATTGTATCAAATAATTATATCAATTATATCAAAGATCTATGAATTTCAGCAACATGTATACATTGGATACTTCTGTCACACTTGGAAAGTAGATATATTAAACTTTTTATATGACTTTGAAACCAACCTGTGAAAAGTGGTTGTAACACCTTCATATATAAAAAAATCAACTCTCGCATTTTCTATTCTACCTGTCATATATCTAGTCAATTTTGAAAAGCATATGTACTAAATCTGATTTATGACTTAAAGAAAAACTTATATGTTTGGCTGTGGTATCTTTATGTAATTGGATATCACAAATCCTCTAGTTCTCTACTAGGTATTGCTTGAGTTATATAGATTTTAAAAATCTTTTTGCTGCTTCTTGGATGGTTATTAGAAAAAAAAAGCGCTAGAATAAATAAACCATTTTTTTTTAGTTCTGCATTAGACTTTTTTTAGCAGCAAAGAAAGATATATATTGGTCTTACATATTTTTAATATTGCCAAAAAGTAATCCTTTATAAATAAAAGTTTAGTTAATAACTGTCTTGGTTTTTTAAAAAAATAATCAAATATTAGCTTAGTTTATATATAAAAGGTTTATATTATTGTGTTTTCAATGTTAATAATTAAATAAAAACAATCAATGCTATGTTTGGTGCATTTCCTGGTTCTTTTTAGGCCATTTCCCCCTTATGTAGTTCATGAGACTATAAAAGAAAGCTTGTTAATCTGATTAGGCAACTTTGAAGATGATCACTCTATGGGCATAGCGGACTGGAAGAAACTCAGGTCACTTTACAGGAGTTGCACCCTGCTTGGTATTCGTACCTCTAAATTTGACAGCTTAAACCAACTAAGAGACCTATGGAGTGTCTACTGGGAGAGTAAGAAGTAATCCTTAAGGAGTCATGCTCCACTTGGCCAGCAACCGAGCCTCTAGATTTGGTAGTGTGTGCTAACTATAGGAATAACTCTTGGAACATTTACTAGGAAGTGTAAAGAAGTAAACCTTTGATGCCAGAAAGGATGGGTCGTAGGGAGTGACTGTGATAAGGACCCTAATGATGGTTAATGGGTAAGAAAACAGCCCTCTGTATAGTCCACATCTAGATATAAACCTACTCCTGAGGTATAAGTTGGTACCTGAGTTAGAATAAGAATAGGGTTGTCAATTAATTAGCAATAGCTTAGATTGTTCATGTAATGATAACTTGTAAATCATGTGATTTATGAAATAAAATCTGTGCATGTATTGCACCTTAGCCCTTAAAAAAAAATAAGTATTATAATTTTCTATAGTAAAAATTTATTTTAAATTTGATTATTAGCAAAAAAAAATAGTTATATTAGTTTTTATAAATATTATTTCTTTAATTTTTTTTAAATTTGTATTTTTAAAAATATTATTTTATTTTACTATTTTTGTTTACAAAACGTATGAAATATTTAAATTATATTTATTTTTTAATTAAAACTTGAAATTTTTTTAAAAAAAATACATTTAACAATTTGTTAAAATTTATAAAACAATTGTAATTTCAATTAAATAATAAAGACATTTCAATAATTAAAACAAATATTATAGAAGGGATAGAAAAATAAAATAATATAGACATATCACATTCTTGCCCAATTATGGTTTATTGAATATTTTTAAGATTTTTTTACATGTATAAAAGAAGAGAAATTGTACTAGAAAAATGAAAACAAATAAAGATCCTTTTAAAAATAAACCCAATTCCATATTTAATACTTTCATTTATCTTGTGCCAAAATCCACACACCTCTATTTGACATTATATAATTAGTAATTGAGATGTAGTGACAGACTTGCTGATTATTACCTCCACATTATATATTTTATTATTTTAAACATTTAATAATAAGCAAGAAGTTATTGATTTAATTTATAATTAATTATAATACAATCTTAGATTAATTTAAAGATTAAAAATTTTAATATACAGTTTGTTGCAAAAGTTTTTAAATTAATGTTTAATTTTAAATTTTATTTATAAATTAATAAACAATTAGTATATCTAATTAAAATTTGAACATATACTGTATATTTAAAGAACTAAAGAATAAGACCACCTAAAAGAATTTTTAAATAAATCATAATATGATTATAAAAAATTAATTAAATTATTTTAATGTGGAACAAAGATGCAGAGATTCGCATTGTAAGATCCGCGTACCGATATTGTTTTAACTTTGATCAAAAATGGATTTACACTAAATTCAGATGATATGATAACTTTATTATGCAAAATAAAATTTTTACTAATACTTATGATAACTTTATTATGCAAAATAAAATTTTTACTAATACTTATGATAACTTTATTATGCAAATAAAATTTTTGCTAATACTTATGATTCCAAATATATTTATCAATAGTTATTTTCGCCTGGTCTATCCACCAAACCACGATGAGCAAATGTTGAAGAAAGATACTTTTCAAGATTTTCCGGATATATGAGAAGTAGATGAGGCATTGTTTCGATATTAATTTTTCCTGTACATTTCCGGTTTGTGAACAAAACCAGAACCACATCATAGTCATTCTTGTAATTTCCTATTGATTTCATTGTTATATCGTACCAATCTTTAATATCTGGTGTTGACATCGTAGTTGTTACACCGCGTTCTGAGTACTTTATTTGTGAAAAAATCGCTAATTTTTTTCCATTATCGGCAGAATCAAGAATCCAGCGGTAATCAATATTAGCATTCCCTTGGTAACAGTGAAAAATTCCTTCCTCAAGTGAGCGTGTTACATTGTCATCACATAACACTGACTTATCAAAGCTTGCAACATCGTCCGTCTTTACAAGAAACTTCTTACTCTCGGTAAAGACTTTGAGATTATGTAATCGTACTTTGCGTTGGAGAAGTGTATCAGCACCTAATGCACCACGAAATATATCAGATAGTTGCCAGCTAATGCTTCTTTCATTGGCAAGATACTCATTGAACTCTCCGATTTCCTTAGTGATTTGCAATTTTGTTTTGCTATCGGTTTTTTCTTCTAAGTTTAATTGGAGTATCGTAATTTTTTGATCAATGGATAATAATTTTGACTCCTTGACATTGATTAAACTATCAATAAGAGCTTTTTGGTAATATCCATATAGAAGTTCAAAGTCTTTCCACTGCCAAGGGGAAACATGTGTTGGAATTAAGAGAAGGTGATCTGGAAACACAGTTTCTACGCCAGAAACCAGTAGCACGTTGTTGAGTACTTTCAATAACATGAAGGGCATGACGATAGTGTACCGATAACCTTTGAAGTTGGAGAGATATATCAGACCAGCTCGTTCAAGTTCACCAATGGAAGTGCAACTGGGCAGTAGAAAATCTCTCATTACATGATGCCCGGTAAGCCCAAATGAGATTACAGTACGTATATCCTTCAAGCTCTTCCAATCACCTGGATTATTTCCAACCGTAGTAACATTCCGCTGAGATATTTTAGTAAAAAGCTGATTTCCCCAATCAAAATATGTCGTAAGATTAGGAGGATTTAAGAGATCGTCAATAAATTTTGGAATGAAGCCAGTGTCAAAAATAGCAATATGAAAGTGTTGTTGATTCAGGACAAGGTTACAAAAATCCACTGAAAGCTTTTTGACATCTTCATTGTTAATATCAGAAGAGTGATATGATTTGAGACCTTGCACCATTAGATCTCTTCCTTCATCAGTTGTTTGCCTTGAATAATCATATTTGTCAAGGAACATGGACTTTGCTGAGATATAATTCAAAGGCTTGAGTTCCAATATTTCTTGAGTATACTCTGTAGGTAAAAAATGAATGTCTATGGCAGATGTTCCTGTACAGATTGGGACAATAAAATATTTTCCATAATACTCATATTTCATTCTATTACCACGCATGACACTACCAATCTCCCTTAACATTGATTTAAAGAAATTGCGAGAATCTATCCATGATAGTTGTTGGTGTTGTTGAGCATCATTAATATAAAGTTGATATTCGTCAATATGAATGATGATAGCCTCAATTGAATGCTGTTTGATTTTAAACCGACGTTGAAGTATTTCACGAATCACGTTAGAAAGTTCGAAGAGTTTTGGATTGTTTTCTGATAATAATTTATGTAGATCAGGACATTCGGGCACCAATCCTGAAGCCACTGCAACACGCGTTCCTATTCTCACACTTGGAATTTCCACATCATCGAAACCTCTAATATAGTTACATCCATTATTTAAGTCAATAAAGACGTAACAAGGATCTTTTAGAGCCTCGACAAACTCAGTGGCGCCACTTATTGTTGACAGTGTGGAGGACAGATGCTTTGATTCCCAGCCCATCCGTGTCTTTCCTATTCCTATCCCTCCAGGGATTAAAATAAACATATGATCTTTGTGATCAGGAGTGTTGCGATACATGTAGTTATAACGAGCAACTTTTAACATTGAATTAAGAGCCTGATTACGATCATAAAACTTGTGAGGAGGAATCTTCACGTCAAGAGGTTGCAATATTGACGAAGTAAGGAGAGAGCTCAAGGTTTTCGCTAAAAATGAAAAAAAATTTTAAAATAAAAACACGATTACTAATCAACACAACAGAATATATTACTTACGTGTTTGTTTCTCCTTTTTTAGGGTTCTACTTTCTTCATTTAAGTCCGAGTCTTCGTGTCTTCTTTTCCCTAATCAAAATAAGGTGTGAGTGAGATAACGCGAATTTCTTGTTCGAGAGGTAACCCATCGGGAAACACTTACCAGTGGTGGCCGGCGGTGGTGGTTGTACGATGATTCGGATATTACTAGTGGATTCGTGAAAATAATCACTGATGGTTTTGAATGGAGATAACATTATACCTTGGTATTGTTCTTTGATATTTTCGGCGTATATTTTTGTTTCCAGATCTTCATCTTCGACAGGAATATTCACACTCCATATATTCAGTTTGTTAGCGTCAATATTGAAAAAGGTGTTTTCCTTCTTCTTTTTAATGAGTTCCTTGAAATGCCCAATGGTCGTGCCTTCTTTAACATCAACCGGGAAAGAATTCCCAATGGCATCACCTAAAACGATGCAAAAAATCTGGAAACTCATTAAAAAATTACTTATAAAATTATTAAATTTGTGAAAATTCAAATACCATGATTTCTTCGGTAGCAGATAACATTATAGAAATAAGTTACGAAGTTCCAAAAATGGTTAGAGTGTTTAAAATAAAAAAATGTTTCAGTTCACGGCACGTAATCTGGCGTATTTATAAATTTACAGTGATGCTTAGCATTCTCATAAACAATATTACATAAGGTTTGGGCTGCACGTTTATGTAATCCGACTTATCGAAAAAACTATGTATAAGGAGGCCAATAATAGCGCTTCACAGGTAGAAAAAATTATCATATCACGGTCTGAAGAAAATACTACATTCGTAGTAGATAAACGGATCGTTACGGAGCCTTATATAATCAGCACGTAATTGAGCTATGATCACCGATTTCCCGGGTACCACTTGTTACAAGATATATGATTGCATATAAATTATCCCCTACATTTATATTATATATTCCCGGATATTTTTAATGGTGCACATTTAATATTTCTTATACAGTGTCAACTCTCGATAAAAGAAACTGATGATCGAAAGTAGAAAATTTGATACACAGGGTTTTCGAAATTTTTATTTATTAAGTTTATGTATTAAGTAATCTAGACAACCAAATCTATATGCATTAAAAATTTAGATAATTTTAAACAAGATTTTATTAACATTTAGAGTTTACATTTTGTGCGGTGAGTTTTTTTGATTTTGATTCTAGATTTAATATTGATATTATTTCTAAAACTAACAAACAATCTCACTTGCAATAAAAAAGAATAAAATATTTTATTTGATTTTCAAATGCAGTTTTTACATTTTCTGTTATGGTTATAATTAATAAATGTTGTTTATTATGTTTTAAACTATCTGTATATTAAAGTTTATAAATTTACATTAAACATTAAAAAACTATTTAATAAATAAAATTGTTACTAACACTATATAACAACTACAAAAAAAAACTCTTTACTGTATGCAACTTTTTTCTTAAAAATATTCTTTTATAGTAATTTTTTCTCAAAATTAAAGAAACAAATTTTTTTTTTGCTTTTCAATATCCAAAAGCCTTACACATCTCTTTTATTTTCACTACAAGAACCTCAAGAAAACTAAAGAAGCATACTGATGCATTGTAATAGAACCTCTGGTCAAAAGAAAGAAAGTTTGAGGCCCTTGCTCTCTTTTTGGATTGCATAAGGAAAAACCCATAACAGTTGCTTCTTTATAAACTTTTCTTGGAGTTTTTCTCATTTTTACTTTTTATTAATATACTTTTTATTAAATAAATAAATTTTCTTCTTGAAGTGTTGTTCTTTTATATCAAAAATTAAACTTCACATCAAAATTGTTTATACTATTGGCTTGAGACACCAGCAATATACTCAATACTTATTTCTCAACATTATTTGGCACACAATGATGTATCACAAAAACTCAAAAATTTTCATACAAAAAAATTTTTGCCAAAAAACTGTAATCAATTTACTTCTGTTAATTGATTAATATTTCAAACTTAACTAATCAAACACTATCAAATTTTGAAACAAATCCATATAACCAAAACACTACACACTAATCAATATAAACAAAACTCTTCTTGATAACAATAATTAAAACAAAATTAAATTACCAACAAACAAACTAATCATTAATTATATCACAACAATAATAATACTATCATTACAACTAATAATCTATCAAAAAAATATATTTATTATGATAAATTCTATATATAGAAAATATTTTTTAATTTTGATTAAATTATTATATTAATATATGTAATTTTAAATAAATATAAATTATTAAATTAAATAATAAATTTTATTTAAATTTAATTAAAATGTTGTTGAATATAGAATCTGTTATTAAAAAAATAGTTAATATTAAGAGTTGAATCTAAGTCAATTAAATGGTAAGATTTGTAATAGTAAAAATTATGTTTCCAGTAGAGCTTATATCTATCTCCCTATATCAATAAAAGTTAATTTAAATAATAAAATCAGATATTTGATATAAGATTTTACTATAAATCAATTATAAAATATAATTGTTTTAAAATTAAAACCAAACTTTTTTCTAATAATATCTGCTTAGCTAAAAATTTTTCTTTTATAGTAATTTTTGTCAAGAAAAAATCTATTACATTTTTTATTACAAGTAAGATTCCTAATAATATTATTTCAGTATTAAATTAATATTGAATTTATTATAAGTTTATAATAGTAAATTACAATTTATATATTAAATTTATATAAGTTAGTACTATTTTAATATTGGTTTAAAATCCAAATAAGTTTTGTTAAAAACTCAAGAATTTTTAAAACTGATATAGTAAATAAAACTTCTAATTAAAATCTATTTAAGTTTAAAAGTCTTGCTTACCTTTTAGTTATATAAAAAAAGACTTATAACAATTTTTTATTTTTTGTTTATTTTTTTTAAAGAAGTAAAGCACATTACATACACACTTTTATTAATTTAGTATTAAAGATACTGTTATTGCATAAAAGATCTAACTAACTTACTCTAGCTATCTTAACCTTAGCACTATTTTTTTTTCTAAATTATGTATTAATTTACATTATAAAGATAGGTTCACATATCTGGTATGGTCTTGTTTAAATAACATTTTTTGTTTGTTAATTGTCAATAGAGTCCTCATTACTTTCTCATCACCGGCTCTGATTTGTTATGATATTTGTGATCTTATTTCTTTTTACTTTCTAGTAAATACACCAAGAGTTGTTTCTTATCAGGATATTTTTTTGGTGGAGATCTCTAGAGATCTTCACCTAAAAAAATTTTTGAAAATCTTCAAAGGTTTTTAAGAATTTTTAATATAGAATTTTTTAAAATAAAAAAACTCTGGAAATTTTTATT